GTTGCAATAGCTAGAGCTTTGTGTTAACAACATGCTGAGATGGATATAGTATTTGCTGAAATGATCTCTTCTCGAAGTATAATATATTATATAATTATTGTGATTTGCACAAATATAATTATATGATACGTAGCTTCAAATAATAATTATATGTAACTTTAAATGGTAAACTCCAAATTTTAATTAATATTTATATTATTATTAATTAAATTTTAGAATTTATATTATAATTTAAATTTATATTATTTAATGTAATTTTTTTATTAAGTGATATAAAATTATTTTTATTTTTATGCCTAGATGATTTGGCAGATATTAAAATGAGCTGTATAACATTATGAGGTTTATAAACGATTTTTAATAGCGAGCTATTATGGATTACATTCCATGGCCTTGACGAACTGTTCCTAATGAAAAATTGATTGCAATATCGTTATCTGACCTTAATCGAGGCAGACACTCTCTTGCGCTAGTTTTTTTTTTTTGCCTTCTCATCTAGTTCGCACGTAGATCCCATGCATTATAAATCCAAAATAGATCGTCTCGAATGTTCATCTTCGTTATCTACACACTCATGTAAACAGGATGCATGCGACAGTGTTTCGTGTTATCTGTAGTGATTGCTAGGCGAGGGTTGTCGCTCACTGGCCGTAATAGATTCATTAGGGTAGGCATTGCCTACTCCCGATGTATCGTCGCCCCTAACTCTGCATACATGTACCCTCTTTCATTTTCTGTCACTCGATCACTCATTCGCATGTAGTATCCGTTACTGACTCATCTACATGTCCCGTTATATACAATAATTAGCCATTTATTCATGAATCCGTCAACGGATTTTTCACTGTCAGCTCCATTTTACATAGACTTATTTTTGCTTACTCTAAACTTATTTAATTATATATTATATAAAATATATATCATAATGTATAATATATAATCTTCAATAAAATCTCAACAATTATTTAGGAAAAGCATCTGACACGTAATCATATCACTATAAATAGTATATTTACATAGGTATGCCAGTTGTAGATAGATATTTGAACTCACTATCGAATATTTTATTCATCAATTAAAAAAATTCATTTACGTCACACAAGAGCGGCCAATATTTTTCGACCAATATATGTAATTCAGTCCAATTTAATCGAACTGCTCGATCATCAACCTTCTAGTTCGCTTTTCTCTCTTCCATACAGTCGATCCTTGACAGAAATTTCACAAATTAGATTATTGATTGTTAATCAATATCACTGCAATTTGGCGACACGCCAGCATGCTTTTGTATATATGTATGTTTGCGTGTACATTTAACGAAAGGTCATATTGTCCATTGCAATATTTCTCGTTTGCAAACGAATAATAACGACGCGAGAGGGCGATGCAATTGGTATGTAGAGCAGCCTTGAAATGTAATTTTTGTGTGTCCTCCATACCATAATAAAAAGTAAAAAAAAAATTACGAGTAGTCACTTTATATTTCAATTTTTTAAGACAAAGAGGTTTCAGTTTTATTTTTTATTCAAAATAAATTGAAATTGTAAATTGCTTCAAATATTATACTAATAAACATAAATAACGTTTTTTTGCTTATTGCAATATTTTAATATGTTTACTTTTCCGAGACTTAATTCTACATCTTGCTTGAGTTTGCACGAAGGAAACAGATGCAAATACATATTCATGTTTTCTTCGATCTCACTTCCACAGGAATTTTCTTTATCTTGTTTTTTGTTTCTCGAGGATTGAGTTCCCCTATCTCTCAGCACGTTTCTCTGATATAATTTTATCGTGATATTACATCACCAACTGCGCAAAACAATATTGCGTTTTCCTCGTTAGCATTCCGCTCTGATGTTGCAACATCCAGTATTGTATTTTTATCATTAATTCTGCGGATCGGTGTTCTGTCTAATCTTGCGCACACCGCATCTTTTTGAATATTTAAAAGTTTAACGGTGAAAAGTTTTGCCGAACAAAGTTGGTAGAAAAGTAGTTTCAGGTGAAAAGAAAAGGTAATGGATCCACGTTCCCGTTTTTCATCCTCGCGAAGGGGATGGGTCATCAGTCGCCTTCCTGCCCCTTTGTGAAAGTTTGAATACGTAGACAACGTCTGGTTTCGTAGGGACCATTTCTTCTGCAGCTTCTCGTATTCGGGGCTTCTTCACCGTTTGTCACCCGCTGCCAAGAATGTGCCGCGAGTTCGAAGGAGAAGATAAAATGGAATCGCACGCGGTTCGTCCCCATTTTATGGCGACAGGCGGATAGTGCGATAATTTGTCGGAATCATTGTCCAGAAATTAATTCCCCATTTCGTGCTTTACGAATCCCCCAGTCGCGCCATTCCTTTGTATTTGACCATGGAAAATGAAGTTTAAACCCTCTCGTGATAGTGAAATACGCAGGAAATTGGGGATATCCTGCCGCGTTATGAATCCCATAGTGATTTTACCTGACCAATACCATGGCATAATAATATAAAGTAAATCTATATTCTATTATACTCGTCGGTATTTCTGAATTTATTTATAAATTTAGTGTGATATTTATTTAACTAACTCTACATAATTTTCTATATTAAATTTAATAAACTTGAAATTATTAAAATATATTTAATCGTGTGTACATCTGACAATTACAAAAGATGTATTGTATTATAGTCGCATGCTAACTAATATCTTTAATATTTCAACTACTACAACAATATCCGAATCATCCTAATTTACACAGAACGAATATTTTAGACTCCAAACTTTTTTTGCCGTATTTTCCATAAATTTAAGGGATTTTAATTGATTCTTTAAAATGAGAACATGCTAAACTATATAGAATATAAATCTATAAATGAAGAAAAGTTTTTGATAATAGTATCAAAAGTTATAACGTAGCAAGAGTTTCTGAAAAAAGTGTAAAAAAGTTTTATTCAAAAAATCATATCTTTATGAAAATACAATCAAAAAATGAAAATAAATATCGTTACAGAAATAGGAAATTAATTTAAAAAAAAGATATGTCATAATAGTTAGTTACAAAAATTATAATTATTTCAATGAGTAAAATTGGAGTATTTTAAAACATGCTTGAAAAGGAAAATAATGTTATAAATATTATATTATGACACAAATAATGTTTATTAACATAAATATTATGTTTACAAATTATGATTAATTATGATTAATTAATATAAAAAGAAATGTAAAAGTTTTATTGATAGTCAGCGCAAATACCGTAACGCGAGTTTCTGTTTCCATCTTTTAGGATAATAAAAATTAATATAGAATATTAATGATATTATCTGAAAAAATTGAGTTAGCGAAGCTTCTATTAAATAAACAGCGGATATTAATAAATTGAGCATAGTAAACGGTAAGATAAATGTTCAAAGCCATTCCGTAATCCACATCGTTAAATAACTATATTGTACATTGTACAATGTACATTGTACAATGTGCATTTGACGCGCGCGCGATATGATTACTCACATTGTGTGCGGAGATCGATCAAAAACAAATTACTTGGCGACAAAGAGACGTACAAAGACCGTCTATTGCACTCTAAGCGATCGATATCCGCATCCTGATGCTGCGAGCCTTTGTGTCTGGTGCAGCAGTACTGGCTGGACGATGCGATGGACCAGAGCGGCTTCCGATAATAATTTTTTTTTTCTCGTTTGGCAAGTTCGTCCGTATATCCGTGACGATCCCTGTCAAAAGCAGCAACCAACGTGGTTTATGACGCATCTCGTTCTTGCCATCTTCATAAGAAAGGAGGGAACGAGGAAGGATTTCGATGGAACCCTCTCTGGTCGAGCATAATGTGCCCATTATCTTCAGTCCTTTCGTCTATTCCGCATGTGTACCTTGCTTATATAATGTACCGGGTGTCCGCGTAATTTTGTGTCTCCTCCATCTGCTCGGTTTTGCTTTCCCTTTCTCTCGTTGCTACCGCGAATGGTCGTGACACGATCGTAAGGTCTAAAGAAGCATTAGATGATACTCGAACGGGTCGACGAATACAAAGAGGCTGAAAGGGGTGGTTGAACAAGATATGGGATGGAGGATAGGACGTCAGGCAAGGAAGCCAGGGACCATTACGGTAATATCCTATGGACGGAGGAAGTGATTTTTAAGGAGATAAGGCTGCCATTTCAAGGCAATTTTGCTTTCCCCGTAAGCTTCGTTCTCTTTCTTCGGCGGACCAACTCCCCCGTACTTCCTTTACAGGACGATTATGAAAATTTCGCGCCGTTTTTTAGGGTTCTCGAAAGTGAGCTTTATATGGCTAGAACATCACTTTACGCATAAATCTTCTGAATCTTTGCATTCATGATCAATGAGCTCTTTGTCATTTCTGTCTCGATATTTAAAAGTTAGACGAGTCAAAATTATCTTTTCATAAATAGCATTATTAAATTATACAAGAATTATACAAATTATGTTTGTAACTTGTTATTACTAACGCTTTCATTAATTCTAATCCATGTCCTAATCAGTATTCGTAGATCCTTTAAATTAATATTATTTAAAATTAATGTAATTAAACAATTTTTTTTATTTTGAAAGACAAAGTACGAGGAATAAGATGTATCTTATGTAAATTAAAATTATATAAGGTTGTGAAAAATATTTATTACAAACAATTCTTTATTATAACGTGCACTGAAAAAAATTTTGCTCATTTTTGATCCAATGAATGATCGTTAATCAATGTCCGACTTAATATGAATTAATTCATTGATACAATAATGGGATTCATTTATATATAACTATCATTCATTTTTGCAATAAATTCTAGTAATAATTTTATAACCTAAATTCATTATGGGAATTCATTGGATCAATTTTCATCAATTCAATAAATATTTTATTGTATTTACATACAGTTTTAATTCAGTGTAGTTAAAGAAATATTCGAGTGCTAGATTAGTGAATATCGATTAAAGTTAATAAGAAGTAATAACATTTTATAATTATCGTTCTATTTTAAACAATCTACAGATCCTTCAGCATCTGGTTCGTCCTGCGAGGACGACGAAGATGGGCGAGCAGTGATCGTTAGAAAACGAAAGAATAGTGTCTATGCTTCCTCAGCCAGAGCTCCATCAGCGGACAGGGACACTTTAACTTCAACCGATGGTCTGCTTGTAGACTGCGTCGCTTTAGTACATCTCACTGATCAATCTCCGACCGAGTCTGCTCAACCCGTGCGTCATCCATCGCCATATTATTACGGCGATCTTTTTAAGATACCGGAGCAACAGTCCAAATCGCAGCCAAATAAATATCGTAAGAGCGTCAGTCTCGATGTACCAGACGAGCGTTCGCGCACACCCGGTTTACCCAAAAGAAACTCGGTAGCGGGGGATGGAGGATCGTATTCATCTCAGCCACGGCATCATCAACAAGCACAACAGCAGTATCCACCGCCGCCATTATCGTCGCATTATCGCAGTCAGGATCTAGTGAGCCCCACATCGGGGAACGAGCATGGTGTTCCAGGCAGAAACGAGATCCTCTCGTCGTGCATCATCACCGAGTGGGATCATACCCTCATGCCTCCTCATAGGCTGTTGAGCCATGATCTGCCTACCACCGTTTGTACCTGCGTCGCATCGCCTGAAGAGGAGGAGGATGAGCTAGACCGACGGCAGCCGCAAGGGGCGCGGCATCAAGTGCGCAAGCTACGACGTACGCGGAGGATAGACCCGCAGCTGATACTTATTGAGAACGAGGACGACGTGGAGGGTGAGGACGAGGGAGAAGAGGGGGACGAGGAGGACGCGGAGCCTGAGGAAGAGGACGAAGAAGGGATGGCTAGGCAACGTCACCTTTACGAAACGGCCTTCGACTGCAAGGTCAATCGTTCCGACGATGATCTTGACGATCTCGATCGAGTCACTAATCATGCGGTACTGCATTCCCAGGTATGTATGTTGATTTTATTATCAACTTTGATACTGAGTTAAATGCTCAGCTAAAGATTTTTTATTTATTTGCAAGCTATTATTTCCATTTTCTGTCTTTTTGTTCTTAAATAACATATTTCGCTGAATTTTGTTCTATTCAGTATTCAAATGAAAATTATAGAAATACTATTATTATATTCTATTTGCATACGAAAATAACGGTTTTATTAAAGTATTAAAAAATTTAATTAGATATCGATAACAATGCTGCAAAACGTTTTAATATTCTAGCAATCCGTTTCAGCGTTCTATATTATTATTTTGATAATCCAAAAAACAAAATTATTTTTAGAGTTGTAATCTAATTTTTGTTGATATTTAAGCAAATCCATTCTTTTTGTGTAAAAAGCAAGTTTTAAATAAAATAAAATAAAACGCAGATACGAAGTGGTAATACCGCGCCAGTGAGTAGAACGAGTTCGTCAACGGATACGTCGAAGCAACAACATCAGCAGTCGCTTCCTTACGCTGGCCAATCGCAGTCAAACAAAGATAGACGTAAAGTCGTACTTCTCCGCCCAAAACCGATTCCGAGCCGCCTACAGCAGCAACAGCAACAGCAGCAGCAACAGCAGCAGCAGCAACAACAATCGCAACAACAGTCCGACAATATATCAACTTTGTCCCAAGATATCGAGTCCCTCCAGATTAATTCGAGCGACGAGAAAACTGGATCGCCGAGATTACCAGCACGTGATTATACACCGTCACCACCGTCGACCGCACCCTTGCCTGCGAAATTTCACGGAAACCGAGATCATTTGCTGTTGAATATTCGCAGCGCGCCAAATTTACCTTCGCAGCAAGATCATCCTCGCTTGAAGGACATGAGATTACCGGTGAAATCGTTGTTGCGCGCTAAAGAATCACCGCAGAGCAGCGAGGGCAGCATTCTTGAAATCAAAAGTCGGCCAAAGACCTTTATTCAGGAGAACATTGATTCTTCGCAGGGCCGGCGATTTGATAAGGAGCTCATACTAGAGTTCAAGGACAGGCCCCGGGAGGAGAGACAACGGCCACGTAGTCTGATCCGCGAGAACAGGCCGATAATGGAGTTCAAGGGTAGGCCTCATGAAGCAGAGAGCGATCTTGTGCGACCGCGAAGAGACGCTGGCCTTTTAGAGTTCAAGTTACGTACTTCGAGGCGTCGCATTGGTTACTCCAGCACGGAGAGCATGGCGACCAGCAGCAGTGGCGGTAGCATGGAGTCCATCAGAAGTAGCACTAGCGAGGGCAATAGATCAACTAGCAGCTCTGACAGTCGGCACAGCACCAGATCACTAAGCTCCCACAGTTCCGACAGCGGCGGTACCAATTGCTACCATCACCATCAACAGCCGTCGCTACCTGGCTTTCTAAATCATCACGCCACCAAGTTGCACATCCTCTCGCCAATCTCCGACAAGTCGTCTCAAGAGCCGGCCTCGGAAACTTCCGACAACAATCGCAACAATAACTCACAGAAAGCCTCGCCTGAAGAGAACATCACCGCGGAGAATAACGTCACTTCAGGCAACACGAATACAGTCACTTCGCCTATGGACATGTCTTTTAAGAAGCGGCGAACGCCGCAGAATAAGAATCTTATTAATCTTGCTTTGCAGTCATCGTCGTCGGGCGACGCGGAGATCCAGGGTTCAGACAGCGGTATATCCATTGAATCTCGCGCTGGCATCAAGTGCAAACCTTTTGGGTTTCATTTGTTAAAGCCGCAGCTTGACAATATTAATTTCGTCGACAATGAGCCAGAACTCTCGGATCTACCTTTCGACATGCCGAAGCTACGTAGAAGACGGTTGCTAATGCAACAAGATGCCACTACATCCGGAAGTGCGACCAGTGTAGACCTAAGAGATCTACCCTTTGATATGCCAAAACTCAGGAAACGTCTCAGATGTACTCAGAGTACTGAATCCAGTGCATCTCAGGCGTCGTCCAGTCTCTCGGTACGCGATGTGGAGCCGCCTCTTTTATTTGGTAAGTTCTCTCTAGTTTACATATTTTTATATTTTATATCGTAACTCTAAAAATAGAAGTTTTACTAAATATTAATAATAAATGAATATATACATATATAATGAATATATAAATATATAATCACTATTAATATGATTACATTCTTCAAATACTTTTTTCTGTGTTTTATTTTTTATGTATTTTAAACTATACATATAAATGCGATGAGTATTGTTTTTTTTTTAAATAATCAAGTATTTTTTAAAGATAATTAACGTAAAGGGAAAGCCATGAGAGTATTTGAATTTATCTTTCTTTTTAATCGACCGTCTAGCCATTAAATCAATAAAAACCGTACTTTCGACACCTCGAGGTAAACTAAGTACTCATCAGGGCAGAGGGGCTACCGTAATTTGATGCTGATCGTTATGAACCTTCCAGACAACAGCTAACATCGTTAAGCTTCACTTAGTTGCTCCCAACGGTTGGATATTCACTATAAACACACATGCCTCTTTGTCAACCATGTATTAATGACTATCCTTTAATGCATCCTTGAATACATATTTTAATATAATATATTATTTTTTAATTATAATATATCATTTCTTCTAGTTTATTATTCTTTCAAGGAAATGAATTATTAGAGACACGAAATGATTATTAGAAATTGTAGCAAAACTATTTAAAATTATGGTGAAACTCTACAGTTTCTAATAATTTTGCCACAAATATTAATAAATTTCGCATCTCGAATATTCGTATTAATTTACTACACAGCATTAATAGTTGAATAAATATTGATAATTGGTAATATAATTTGTCAAATGTATGTCAAAGTATTAAGTAATTTATCCATGTAGGTTATTTGAATATTAAACCCTCATTTATTATTATATAATGAAATTATATTATAGGTAAACATGTTATAGATAAACATTGTATGGCATTTGTATGTATAATGACTCATAGCTATAATTCGGGAACGAGCAATAATTATGGATCGATGTTCGGCAACTGCAATTTATCAAGTGCTATAGAAGTAACCGCCAGCGTGTAATTTAGATCACATTAATAGTACGAATCATAGGACATCAATAATTTATCGCTAGCGAGTGAATTTGGCCCAATGCAAGTGCACTACGAAACGTTCGGAATTAGTCGGGTGATTAAGCCACCACCGTCGCTGCCATCATACCGGGCACCCTCTCCTGTTAACCCCCCGAAGCTGTATCGTCCAACCTGATGGGACTTTGAACGCACATCGTCTACCCTCCGAGTTCCCAAATTGCGAAAGCTCTAATGCGAGAGCCACGCAGCGTTCTCTCGCGCTGCATACCGCCTACGGCCGAGGGAGCCGCAACCTGCGGTGACGTCGATCTGCGGGGGACGATGGTAAATGCTAGTACACGAGGGGTAGGCTTGAGCAGGCTTGGGTTTACGTGCGCTGATGTATAGACCTACCGGGATGAGGTGGGTGAGAAAAGGAACGTGGGCGACGAGAACAGAGTGAGCAACTATTTTTATCGTCGGTCGAATGCCAATAAAGGCACGGAATGCCCGGTAAATCCGTTTTGCCTGGAAGTTTTACGGGTCTTTGGGAACTGTTTTTTTTCTCGCCTGGAAGAACATGTGGACGACGACGATCGTACAACGAGTGATTCCTCACGCCGTGAAATACGTCGACGCGGATTTATTTAATCAATTACGGCCTTCGCTCGGGGCTCTAAAGTACGCCACTCGCTTTTGCGTCGTTGCCTGGGTGATTTAAAGCGCAGACGATTATCACTTGCAGGTTTCGTCGAGCAAGGGACAAATTACGCAATTGTGGAACGAATTAATATTCCTTTTTCATCGTTATGCAATATATCGTAAAAAGGTTAATAATTTAAAAAAATTATTAACAATCTCTCTAAAGGAACGTAAATTTCTCTTCATCCTTTAAACAAGTCTACAGAAGATAAACTATATAAATTTAAATTTGTTATTAAACACAATAATTTACGCATGAATAACATTGATTAGGCTTTCTTTATTTAGTTTTTAATTTTTAAAAAAGTATTATAATTTAATATATAATTTAATATAATAAATTAATTAAATCTTTTATAGAATCAAGAACTT